ATAACGTACATACGCCCTGTAATAAAATATGTAAGCCAGGCATGGATTAACATACATACGTCCTGTAATAAAATATGTAAGCCAGGCATGGATTAACATACATAGAACTAAACTACAAACTTTACAAAATTCCATTCTCAGCCTTTAAAGTAACGAAATCAACTTCACCAAACTTCTTTCATAAATACGCAAATCTACAACCATTGCCCTATAGACTCCTACATAGCTCGCTAAATTATTTCGCAAAAAAAAATTGGAATAAAAACGAACTATTACGTGGATTAGACCGGTATCGAATACTCCTGAAGAAAGTAGTCCTAAGAACCTCTCCCCGGTTAGCATATACATTAAAAATAAGCATAAATGAACGGCCATCTATTGCTAGACATAAACCCTATCATTAGTTTTTAAGAACTAAGAGAGCATTGAAAGGATATATATTTGCACAAAACGAATAAAGAGAAAGCGTGTTCACAACATATTAATATTACTTTAATTACCTGTATGGACACGACCTTGTTAGGGCTAAAGTACGTGACCGGAAAACCTGACATAGTCACTGATTCTCGTGTTGTAATTACACTAGACATAGCCCCCCCAGTAGCACAGAGATATGTCTGCAGACTTACAACGCTAGAATCCGGGTTTCGACACCCGTGGTGGGCAGAGCACAGATAGCCCATTGTGTAGCTTTGTGCTTAATTACAAACAAACAAACACTAGATATTTTCCCGTTAACTCGTACAATGTAAGCGTACAACAGTATAAATATAATAGTACGGTCTGTTGTCTGTTCATGTAACTACTTAGCAGGGTGTGGATGGATCTTCACCAAAATTGGTATGGAGGTTCATTAGGTTCATGGAGAGATACAAACAAAATTGCAGTTTTGCATTTTGTGGTTTTTTATGGGCGTTATTGCGTTTTTTACCACTACTTCGCCCCCTGTTGGTAGATCGTCACCAAATTTGGCAAGAGAGTTTGTTGGGTCCATGCGGAAATACATGCAAAGTTGCGGCTTCATATTTTGTGTTTTGCAGTTTTCAAGGGCGTTTTTTTTACAATTACATATAATGGAAGCAACTTTTCATGTCCTATGATAACCTTTAATTAATCATGAATTTACATAACTTCCGTCCACGGGAGGAGTACTCCAGCTAGTATGTAAATGGTTTTCTTTATTTTGAACTACGATGTAAGTCTTTCATTATTGATTGATTATGAATATTTATCATTTCAAACACAACTAATAATATAATGTGCAGAACAGGAAATAATTAAACTGCACGAGAAACCAAAGTACTGGATAAATCTGTTTACTGAATAAATCTGTTTACTGGATAAATCTGTTTAATTTGTTCATAGAGGTAGATAAGACTTAATTGGCATGTAAAAATTTATTCATCTAAAAGTATCTTAACTAAGTTGATTTTGAGTTCATTTCATGTAGATCTTTATAAAGCTGGAAATAAATCGGCTTTCTTCACAGAAACTAATGGTGAAAAACCTCAATTTTCGTATCTCAGATCTACGTCTTTCATTCATGAAAACTCAAAAGTTGTTTGATGATATATATATATATATATTAGGTCGTCAAGAAATTAACGTCCTTTTTTTTAGATGCAAAAACCCAAACAACTTATATATCAAACAAATCATTTATTAAATTAAATAGTCTTCATTCTTATCGATGACGCTTTTACATCTCACAATCAGGTTATTAATGCTCTGATTAAAGAAATCATTTGGCTTTGAAGCAAACAAACATGTCGATGTCCT